AAGGAAACTCCTTACACTACACTACTATATGCACACTGCCACATACATTGCTACTAGTCAAGTATTTAAAGATTAAGGTAACAAAGGAATTGATGCAAATTAGGATGTCAGCAGTTATTCTTCTTATAGATCCTTCATTCAGCTGTCTTGTACATATTCCTTAATTACATGATCACACAGACCCTTTTTTAATTCAGTGCCTGGGATGAGCCAGCTCTCAAGATGAATGAAGGTAATATAATGCCTCATTCCTGCCAGGAGTTGGAAGGCACACGTGGAAACACAAGACTGCAGGGAGGGAGAGCCTGGGGGCAGGACTGTGGCAGCTGATTGTGCCCCTCGGAGATGACTGGAATCAGCACAGATTGCACATGAGGCCCCAGAGGGGTGGAATAAGGCAAAGTTCATCCCTCTGGAAAAGGGTGAGGGAAGCTTTGGGAAATACTGGGGAATGCATTAACCTGTTATTTTCTAAGCATCTAAATGAGAGCATGATGGGAAAAACATAAAAGGGTTTGTCAAGAACAATTATCTTGAACTGACAGCACCTGTCATAGAGGATAGAGGGGAGGCAGGAGATGTGATAGAGCTTGACTTTGACAAGGCTGTCTGTACTGTTTTTGCAGAACTAGAGAAATGCAGGTTAGGTGTTACTGCTTTAGCAGGAAGCGAGCATAGGGAGTTGAAAATTATATTCAAAAAATAGGTCTCAGTAGCTCACGTTAATGCATGATTTTTGCAGGTTCCGTTCTGAGTCTGTTACTCATCAGCATTTTCAAGGGCTAGGCTGGTGGTTCACAAGAGCAGCTCAATAGGGCTTATTTCTGAAGGCTGCAAGCTCTCTCTCATTGCAAGCTTTTAGAAGCGGTTTGGGCCAATATCTGTTGGTGATGCCTCACATATAATTAATTTACTTTAGTACTGTGGGAGTTGATTTTTGCTGTGCCTTTATTTTTGTGCCTTTTGGGTTTTTTGTTGTTTGTGGGGATGGATGTGAAGTTTTTGCACAGCCTTTTAGTGTGCATTTCCAGGACTTCTGTGATCTAGGGATGTTCTGGGCACTTAAAATTGCTCCTGAAACTGAATTCTTTTAGATTCCTTCAGCTGTCATGCCTGAAACTACCATTTCTAAACCTTTCTATCTCTGATACCCCAATAAAGGAAATAATAGTAATAGTAACACTGTCTTGCTATGTAATTTCATAAGCATTTCTTTTCCTGATGGGTGAAGCAGTTGTTTTCTCTCATTTCTACTGACACTTGCCTCTTTGTGCTGGTTTTTAGAGGTGTGCAGTAACAGAGATCTCCTTATCCCATGGCTGTGCAAGTATCTATATTAGCATGGGGAAGGAGGTGGCAGTTACTGGGAACCAGCAGGTGGTAAAAGGAGGCTATGTATGGCAACAGTATTATTTGAGCTGGTCTAAGCAGAAATGTGTTGTGAAGATAAAACCACAAATGTTTGAGAAACACCAATGTATATGATGTGTATAACCCTGTAAATAAGCCTGAAGAAATCAATGCTTTTCTTTGGAGCAAGGTATGAATATTGTGCAGTAAATAATGCATCACACCACACACTGAGGAAAGATGTGAAAAATAAGTATCGAAGAGACATTCATTAAGTGTGCACCATATATCTGGCTCACTGCATGAGGCAGGTGTTCCCTTGAAGTGGTCTGTAATTAAAGACTACATCAGCAACACAGATGAAGGAGAGGCTGTCTGCTCATCAGTTCTCTACTTCAGGATATTAATGACATCCTTTGAATATTGTATATCAGTGTGCTGCTGCCTTAATTAAGTTTCTTGTGAGCTGGAAAGCGGTGTCAAAGTGTTTCAAGTATTGTTTTCAACAAGGAACAAGTATTTTAGAAAATGTCATTTTAGAAATTAAAAGCCCCTTGTTTTTTCCATATCCTTAACTGAGAGATGATTAAGAAATCCAGAAGGAAGAAAAAGGCATTTGCTGCTGATGTACATGTACAATTCCAGTTCACTTATACTTCCTCTTCAATGATATTAAAGTAGGTTATGGGGAGGGAAACCAGTTAGTATTGTTTAAATCTGCTCTAAATAGAACACAAAAATTAGCAGAGAAAACTTCTGTCCTTTGCACACAGAATAGGTGATTGCATAGTGAAGGACTGTGTGAAAATTTTCACTTTGAAGTGATCTCAACTGATTGACATTCTAGTGTGAATTCCAGCATCAAGATTTGAATGCAATTTATTGCGTTTTTCTCCTTGGGCTGTTTGACATGCTACAGATGTATATGTGTATTGTTGTTACTTTTTCCTAATACTTTTAACTCTTGCTTTTCTTTCCTTGTGCATCCACCACAGATCTCATTCAATTGGGTAAGACACATTACTTTCCTTGAATACTGTCTCTGTGATTGACACGATTTGTTTTATAGACTGTAATGCAGTAACCTCTTTCCTTTCAGCATTGTTTTATAGGATAAAAGCATATGCTACTTAAACTGTAATGCCTTGTTTTTACAGTGTGGTGAGTATAACAAGAAAAGGACTGGACTAAGTGTTTGCCATGTCCTTGAGTAGATGTCTCAAATTCAAATAAAGAACACATTCAAAAGATGTTGCTCTTGGGAAAACCTATTTACATGTAATCCCATTCTCTCAAGCATCTTTTTCTGCCAGAGGTTGCAACATAAACAGCAAACACTCAGTAAAATTCTATTCAGACAGCAGAATTCTATAAAGGTTGTATAAAGTATTAATTATATCCTCTTCAATAAAGCAAAAATATCTTAGTAATGACTCTTTAAAAGTCTTGAGTTCTGGGGAAATTTTCACTAGTAGGCCAAGTTCTGAACATGATAAAGGACTTCTTTGTATTTAGAGACTGAATTTATTCATTCTGTAAAGCACTTAATAGGTGATGAATTAGAAAATAATTTTATGTGTGGTCAAAGATTCTACAAGCAGTCTGGCCTTTCATCAGGTCACCCACAGAGAAGCTGAAGAGCCCTGAATCCCCTGCCAGTCCCACTGGCCTTGTAGCATCTCCAGTGCATAGGAGAGCTCAAGAATATTTTTGCATTCAGCTATGTTATCCTAACATGAACTCTTACTTCACTGAGAAAGCTTCAAAATGTGGCATACATTGACCTCCCTATATCACTCTGACATGAAACCAAAATGTAATATTTAGGGACCTTTGTTATGAACAATCTCTGTTCTATGCCTCTGCACTGAGCAACCTCATGGACATGTATGTCTTTAAAAAAGCTTAATGTTTTAGGCTTCTACTAAAAGAAGATATTGTTACTGTTTCTATAACTTGCATCCTTACCTCTTTGGAGAAATTAAAAGGTTCACTCACTAAAATATGCACTTATCATTCAGATTGTCACGTGCAGTCTCTCAGCTGTGTGAATTTAATCTTCTTACTTAAACCTTCATATTTGGAATGTTTTGCTATTAGAAGAGGAGCAGCCTATGCAGAAATATTTCCAAACTCTATTTTTGCCTATTTGTCATGTGTTACAAGAATAAAATGGCAAGCATGCCTGTTTAATTCAACTAGGATCATTAAAGATTTGCTGCACTTGTGAAATATTTGGGCTAATCTTTCATAAATCTTAAAAATTATGTGAGAAACAACATGAAACATTTGCAGTCTCCTGTAAGTTCTTGTCTGTCTGAACTTAGCAGAAGCCTTAAAATATACACAACAGCAAACAGTTTGTATAAAATCTCTCTGTTCCATCTTCCTGCCAAACAGCTCTTCCCTCTCTTCCCCACCCCCATTTCTGAATCTTTAATCTGAAAAAAAAAATCTGTATATGGACTCAGTGCTGCTCTGAATTTGTGTAGTTTAGAACAAACACATGTGCTGTTTATATGAGCGCTTTCATTTTTTAATGCTATAATCATGCTTTGCTTGCAGCCAAATGTTGGTGGCTCTTAAAGGAAAGCTCTCACTGTTCTCAGTCAGACCAAGCTGCAGCTGTCAATCAGCACTGAAAGTAGCAATGCATGGATTTTTGAAAAAAGACATACTCTTGCAGCACACACTTTACTTAAAATGCTCAGATCTAAATGTGCTTATGGACAGTTCTTACACTTCAAATAGATTCTTATTCAGGACAGGCTTGACACTTCCCAGCAGTGGGGAACAGGCAATGCTGTGATAGCAGAGTTGGCTCAGGTGGAAGAAGGTGGCTAATGTAAGTCAAGTCGATAGTGTGGGTGACTGCCTGCTGGTTTCAAGGTATGCAAGATGATTTGGGGATCTCAGAGTGATGCGGAGGCTCTACCCTCTGCTTGCAACCTTTAGATACTCTTCCTGCTGGGAAGTCTGAGGAGGGAAGTGTCACAAGGAGAGCTGGATGAGAGCAGTGCATGTTGAGGTGTGAAGGAAGAGGCAAAATGTCCTAGAGAGATGGGGACAACTGAGGGTGTTGCCTCTCTGGTTGAAGGAACCTCTTGTTTAGGTAGGCAGTTGTGCAGGAGCCTCTTCAGATTGGGGGCCAGCACTCCTGAAAACATGTATATGTACGCTTAAAGTTAAAATATAAAAATATATTATAATCATGTTGCAAATTGGATTTTACAGCTTTTTTTTCTTTTGTTTCTTCCCAGTTACTCCATTCGCCATTCCATAAGCATGCCTGCAATGAGGTAATATGCTGCCCATATTCTATTTGCTACGGGGATTTCAGCAGTGTAATGAGGGGGGAATTTGCATACTTTGATCCTGATCCTACAGTTTTTAGTTGGATGAATAGTCTCACTTCAATCAATTAAGGTTATTTATGTAGATGAGGGCTGCAGGACAAGGCCATCTGTGTTTTTTCATTTTAATTGTATTAACTATATAATCTCTTGTACAAGCCTTTGAGTAAATGAAGCAGTTTTGAGATGTATTTGGATAGCTGATTGTTACCAGGTTTGTATTACTGAATCTGAAATTCAGTTGTTTTGCTGTCTCTGGAACATCATCCAAAGCCCATTAATGTCAGAGATGATTTCCACTCCAACAGGCTTTGGATTGTGCTCCTGTGGAGGGATTTTACATGAGTGCTTTCATATTTTAATGGCTATAATCATGCTTTACTTGACTGCAGCCAAATATTGACGTCTGTTCAAGTAAAGCTCTTGACTGCTTCCAATAAAATCAGGATCTAGCTTTCTTTTTACTCCCTTAGCCTCTAAATGTATGAATATCCCCAGTCCTTACCAAGCATGGGGGAAAACAAATCCCCTAACTATATGATGGATGCTAATTTATTCAAATTCAGCAGGTAGATAGTTTAAGGCAAACATTTACCAATGTGACTTACAGGGCAAATGTAGGTCTTAAAACAGTTTCTCTCTCCTTTTGACCATTCTTGCCCTAGGTTTGTCATCTAATTAACAGGAATTAAATCTGCATTGTTTTTCCAACTGGCTTCAGTTTGCCCTTTCCTTAAATTAGGGTCAGTTTAACTTAGCCTGATGAGGGTTATGATGTAAATGTATTTGCAGAAACAGGAACTATGCTGGCCAACAGTGCCTGAGCTGCAGAGTCTTTACTAATTATGAAGCACAACACATGCTGTATTTGAGGTCTCAGGTATCAAGCAGGGAGCAGAGATCCAGAAGATCCCCTTTACCTGCTGTAGATTTGTCCAAGTCCTTTATGCTGGCTGAACTACTGGAGTAGGAGACAACCTTTTGTACTTCCTCCAGCTTGCCTGTTTCTAGCATGTCTTCCTACACGAGATAGGGTTATTGGCGGTGAAGAAACTACTCCAAAAAGGGGAGAAGAGACATCCATCTAAGCACCTGAAGGGCAGTTTGAGTACAGCTCTCTATGGGGAAGAACACTCTCACTTTAAAATAGCATATGCATTATATTCATAATACTAGTTGGCAGATACTAGTTGTGCTCAGTATGTTCTGTTTGCAGGAAGAAATGTGAAAAATTGAAGCACTCAAAATAAGGGAGAGGCTATGTTTCAAATTTTGTAGGAAGAAAGAAAGAAAAGAAAGAATGAACAAGGTTGTCAGGCAAGCCAGCAAACCAAATATGATTTCCTTTAAGAAGGAAAATCAGTTGTTGCCTTTTATTTTTTTTCCCCAAGTCTTTTAATCCATGTTCTACTCTCATTTTTCCCCCACACAGTTTTGTGTTCTGTTCCACAGGGAGAGAAAGGCAGAGAAAAGCTTAGCTTTGTCAGAGAGATGCCTTAGGAACACATTCTCCCTAAAGTCTTTGTCTTTGAAAGCAGCAGGATACATCTGCAGTCACAAAATCACAGAGCTGGGGGGTCAGGATTTCTCAAAGGCATTTGAGACCCACTTCCTGTGTAGTTCTAATCTTCTTCATCCCAGCCTCAGGACATTAAACTTGTCATATTTTGAATAATGTGGATTATTAACTTTCTCATCAGCTGAAAAAAAGCACATTTATTTCTTTACAGCAAAACCAGAAATGGATAAAACCACAACAGAAATGGATAAAACTCTAGAAATGCAGAACTACAGCCAGTGTTCTCCAGCTGTTCTTCTGAGAACATGGTAAACGTACCATAGAGCAGGCAGGCCAGTCACCATTTGGTTTCATTTACTAGGCAGGTTCTGCTTTTCCAAATTTGTAGCAAAAAAATACTCATCTAATTACAGTAATTGGATTTGACTGCCAGAGCACAAGTGAGTGTTCACAACCTATCAGTCCATAGCCCTGTGCTGCCAGCCAGCCTTCATTCTGTCCTGGCATTGTTGTTGCCTGGTAAGAACTAATCAAATTGTGGAGTTATCCCATGACATTTGCAACTGATTTTTTCCTTCCTTCCTTCAACCTTTTTTTTTTTTCCTCCTAGGAATTCTCCAACTTTCAAATCATTTGAGGAGAAGGTTGAGACCACTGTCACAAGCCTTAAGGTAAAGGTTAAAGGCAGAGTTGCATGCAGTTGTTGCCTTTGTTGCATGGTGAGCCTCATTCAGGGGGCCAACTCAAAGGTTTGTCTCCTCATGATTCTTGTTCATCACATAAAGTCAAGTGTGCTCATAAAATGACATTTTACATGGCTGTGATAGAGCATTCTATCATTTTCAGGTTTTGAGTGTTCATGTTTATCTAGTGATGGGCTGTTCTGACAACTTTAAGTCATGATGGTGTAGGGTAATGTCATCTCCATTGCACTGTGTCAGAGAAGGAACTGGCTTCTGTTTCACAGGTGGAAGGCTACAAGTGTCTCAAGGAGCTAGAACAGAGCTCAGAGCCCCAGCACAGTGCCTGCATATACTTTCCTACTCTTTCTTTTCAGTTTAGCTACAAATGGCTTTTATACTGACCCTCATAGTAGGAGAAATGATTCATGCAGTTGGGTGCATCAGCTCTTAATTCCTGTCTGCTGGAGTCAAGCCTATTCCTCCCACACCCCCCCTCCCATATTAGCTTCAGTGGTCCTACAATGTTCTGTAGTCAGTCAAAACTGACTTCCTGCATGTCACATGTCATACCTTTAGAAGTCAAATTTGTTCTTGGAATTTGGACTTTGGGCTGCAACTTTTTTGGGAGAGTGTATTAGTTCAACTTCTCTGGGAAATCAAGAGGACCTGAGTGCCTCATTCTTTTCAACTTTTCTGAAAATCTGAACACCGGTGAATTAAATGTTTGCTTAAACACTGGGGTATTGGCCAGAAGCATTCAGTGAAGTGACTTACCTGATTCTCAGTTTTGGATAGAAGAGTAGGCAGAAAAGCAAATAGAAAATGAAACTGCATTGTTTCTGATTTTGAGATGCACCTTATCTGAGTCATTTGAAATAATGCAGGAACAGTTTACTTTCACAATCACTCTGATAAATCCAAATCAATGTTCTTTTGAGAATTTTAACTGGCAAATAAAAGTTACGAGTTTTGCCATGAAAACTTAGTAGTAGCTCTAATGCTGCAAGTTCTGGGCTCACCAGCAATGCATGTATTTCTTACTGCTCTTTGCAGAAATCAGGGGTGAACTGATACCTCTGAAACTAGACTGGATACAGATTTTTACCTCTTCAGATGGGAACTTTTAATCAGTGACTCTGAGCAAATATCAAGCCCACTACTACATTATTTTTTGAACTTCCAAGCTAGGCTAGCTGCTTAAAGAAACAAAGTATTACATAGGATTAACCCTTTGGAAACTTAGGACACAAAGTTCATTTAATTAAAATAATCTTCCTAAGCATTCAGTGGCTGACTGGCTGGGAAAATGCCAGCTTGTCTTTAAGTCCTGCTGCAATTCTAGGATGGAGTAAAATGTTTTGCCCTATTTTCAGGCTTGAATCAATTTTCAGTGAGCATATCAGCAAGCCAAGCCACAAAAGAATGTTCTCTTACCAAGACAACCCAGTCAAAACAGCTTTGTCTCTTTGTCACTTGTCTTGATCATTTCCAAATCTTTAAAGTTCTGGCTTTGTTAGAAAAACTTTAAATACCTATTTCAGTGATTTAGTCTTACTGGTTTTATTTTTAATACTTGCATTTACAAATTCAGTGACCTGAAGTATTTTGGAACTAGATGTGTGAGCACATTGTCATATGTTTCATTAGTGTAATTTGATCTCTTCTCTCCTCCTTCCCCCATGAAAATGCTAGGAGCAGTTTTACATATCAGTATCTAGGTAGCTACAAGTGCCTGAAGGGAGACAAGGGTTTGTTCTTTGGTTACTACATTCCTTCTGCTGTCAAATATCCCAGTATGGTTTGTGTACTTTGCGAGCAGCTGTTACCATTGCTGGCGGATGGGCCACTTTGCTCAGCAAATGAACCAGTTCATTTTAATACCCATCTCTCATCCAGCCTTTGTAGAACTGGAAAAAACAATGAAAACAGTGTGAGCTACTCATAAACCACACAAGGTTTACTGGTAGGGTCTAGCATCCTGCCTGGGATCTACTTAGGGACTGGTTCCTTTAAGTGTACGGGACACGCCACTGGCAGATTTTACGACGGCAGCCTAGTTTAGAACTGGGGGAGGAAAGAAATGGTTTTATTTGACTAGTTTTATAGCTGTTGTTCTAAGAAAAACTAATCTCCATGTGTACTTTGCCTGAATAGTTCCCAGCTCTCCATGGCCTTGGGGTGGAATGCAAATGGGACTTGATTCAGTGTGAGCAGAGGAACTTACTGTTCTCCGTTTGCCTTGTTTCAGACCAAGGTTGGTGGGACAGGCCACCCAGGAGGCAGTTTTGAAGAAGTTCTCAGCTCTACAGCCCACGCCAGTGCTCAGAGCTCTCTTGCTGGCACCCGACTCCCTGAGAGTGAAGAAGAGCTTCAGTGTTAAACTGCAGGCCCTCCTGAGCCCCACAAGCCTCTCCAGAGACTTGCCCAGACAGTGATTTTCAGCATCCCTCGCTACACAACTTGTGCAACAAGGTTTTGTCAGCTTTGGAAAATTGCCTCTCTGGCCTTGTGTTGGAGAAATGTTTCCTCTCTCTATTTCTATTTTAGATGGGCCATTTTATCACCAGGTACTTTGTACATCATCAAAACCACACACAAGTCATTGGCTATAATGCATTAAATTCTACATTAAGTGACTAAAATAGTTATCATTTTCATTTGACTTCCCTCCACAATCTCCTAGTCTTTGTTTTTTATTTCTTTTAGTTTACTCTTTTCTATCTGTTGGTTTTCAGCTCCCCTCTCAATGCCACATCAGACAGATGGACCTAGAGCTGTGCAAAGCTTTCGACTTGCCAGCAGTAGCCCATACACCAGCTGTCTACCAGCCATACCAGGTGCTCTTTGCTCAGGAGTGTCTGTACATGATTTATTTTCTAACAGAATTAAAATCACCTATTGTCCAAAAAGTTTTTCTCCTTCACTGGTACAGTCTGGCATTGCCCTCCACCCATTAGTAGGCAAAGTCAAGGAAGACAGGAAGAGACAAACAGTTATTCATACAGAAACCAAACTGATTACAATTGCTGATTTAAGATGGTCATTGTGACTAGAAAAGTTTCAGTTAAAAAATATGCACCATTGCTTGCTCTCTATGGTTTAGTAAGACTTGACAACAGCGTAAGTTAATTACAGAATCAAATGGAGTGGAGGGAACCTCTAATATATTTGCCTCTGTATCTTCCCACAAAAATAGGGGAAGGTGCATTTATGAGCCTCAGTCAAGATAACAGCCTTAAGTGAAAGAATACAAACCCAACAATTGGCTGCAGACGTGCCATAGGTTAGGAGCCCATGCCTTCTGCCTGTATTTCAGAGCTGCTAGCATAGACCATGATCTGACAATGCACAGGATAAGTAAGTACTTCACTTTTGGTGTCAAAATTTGTTGTGCTTTGCTCCAGTACCTAATTCCACCAACTGCATTATCTCTGATCAATCACCAAGAGCCAGACATCTCTCCACTTTGATTCAGCATGTTTTCTTGCATTCTTTTAACACTTTTTCTAAGGAAAGAGCAGCACATCTGTGACAGTATCTTGCTGTCTAGTAAGCACGTGTCAGTCTGCACATTGTGTTACTCAGTTCAGCAGACTGAGGTGAGCACAGCGTTACCAATAAGCAAGGTGGAAGAGCCTGGCTACTTTGAAGGTGGATGCAGTTTTTGAGCATAGGCCAAAGCTTCAAATCAGTGTTAGTGAGTTTGACGTTACAGGTTGCTTAAAACTTTTGTGAGAAAACTTGGCTTTAAGTGATTTTTTTTTCCCTGTGTGGCTTTTGTTAGTTTTTATGAAGTTGAAAGCCATTTCATAATGTTCTACTGGACATAAGTTAACTTTGGACATTTATATCACATGCCTCTTTAGTGTGATTTTTAGCATGGAAGCAAATCTAATTAGGGGTTTTTAGTATTCTTGTGACAATTTTATAGCTTATTTTATGTGGTTTTGTGCATAAATGTGAATTTATTTAAAATGTAAGATATTAATGGTCAACTTAGTTTGTGTAAATGAAGTTCTTGATATTCTTATTAAAAATAAATTTCTCTTACTCTTTTACCCTTTGTGATGTTTTAATTCTGTGTGCTTACCAGTATTACTGAGCAACCTGGTCTAGTGGAAAGTGTCCATGCCCATAGCAGCTTAAGTACAAATCAGGTCCCTTCCAACCCAGACTGTGAATCTATAAACCTTGCTAGTTCACAGCACAGCATCAGCATAAATTGCACAAACATAATCTGCTAGTCCTAGTTTTTAAAATCCAGTTCCTTCTGGACCTGAAACTCATGGAAATTTGGCCCAAACTTTGAACATTTTAACTTTCACAGGAGAAAAATAATTGAAGAAAGTTCAGTAACAGTGAAACACATCACAGAAAACATAGAAGTCTAAACCTATTGCCCCCTCTGTGCAAGACCAGCAGCCAAACCAAGGTTAAAACATGGAGTCCAAGTACTATCTCTGGGTATGTCCCCTCAACCAGACCAATATGCTCTGCAGACTTTGTGCACTGTGGCAGCCACTGAGGCAAGAGCTGCCAGTAGCTGCAGAATGCTCTGCGAGCTTTGGTCAAGGCACCCCTGAGGTTTGCATAAAGGAAACATTTCCTGAGTCATGGTGACTGAAAATGTGAGCTCAGCTACATTATCTACCATTAAAGGGGATTACAACTGAGTTTAGTTTTATGCTGCCTCATTTGATATGAGGCTGAAGACAGAGAAGCATCTTCAGAGAGACAATTTTTCCTAGTGTAAAGTTTGCTTATTTGGTAAGCATGACCTCACCCTAATCTCCAGCTGCACACAACAGCTGGGTGTGCAGACACTGGCCATGTTATGGCATTTACCCCTACAGCTTTACTTCACAATCATTCTGTACTTCCACATTAGTGCTATTACTTCTGCCAAAAACTCATTTACAGCAGCTATTGGTCCCAGTGGGTAACAGCCAAAAGGGAGGTAGCTTCACACACACTGTGTTAGACTGCACAAACTAAAAAGGTCTCTCCCAGCCTCAGCTATTCTGTGATTACCAATACCTGTGAAAGAGTCTGTAAAACTGCCAGACTGGGGTAAGGAAGAGTCAGGAATACAGGCCTTATGGAAGTGTCAGCACCATTCCCCAATACAACGCATGAACAGGGGAAAAGTTGTATGAAACAATGAAGATATTGAGAAAATGTAATTAATTAGATTATCAGTCTTATCCACCATCACTTCTTAAGGCTTATGCACTTGAAAGAAATCTCTTCCCTAAGCTCAGTCAAGAGCTTCTAGGGAAATGTGCTCCTTGGTCTCATTTCTGTGTAGCACTGAGTGGATACTAACTCATCTGAAGCTACTTAAATCCATATATACTTGGAAGACACAGGACAAGACTACCTGACCCAGGCAGTGCATTACATGAACGGATTAGATTGCCATCAGCTAATTTTTAAACATGCCTGAATTTCTCCAATGCATAATTTTTAACTGAAACTGCATTAATCAGAGGCTTATTTTAAAATAGGAAAACCACAAACAAGCTCATTTGGTCCCTAACACAACCTCGGAGCTGGGAGGTAACTATGCTACCTGCTCCTATCTATGTGGTCCTGGGATCGTCAGCAGTAAATGCATAGGAGAAAAAACATCTGCTGGCAGAATTAGTGATGTTGTAAGATGAACAATAATGCACAGAATACAAAACAAAGCATTTATTATAGCTACAGCATTTAGGAACACCTCAGGAATGTGGCTGAGATGCAGCAGCTATTTTTTTATTCCTTTCTGTGTTAATCTGAGATACAAGCTTGACTATTTCTGGGTGAACAAACTTCCCTGAAAAACAAAAGAAAGGGAAAGTTAATCAAAAATGCTCTCATATTCCCATGTGTGAAAGGTTGGCACTGAAACTATACACCAGTGATGACACTTTAGGCTCAGACTAAATGTCGAATTATTCTTTCAAGAAAGCGAAAACTCCTAGTTTCATCCAACTATGAAGTAAGACTAGTTACAGCCCTTCTTCCCCAAAAAGCTTGCATTTTGTACTCTATTAAGACACTTAATAGAGTGAAAAATGGAAGTGTCCTGACCAAGATAATCCAATACTATGTAACCTGGTACAGGAAACCCCCCCAAATTACAGGTGCACTTAGGTTATATGCTGTAGGCTCTACTCAGACACCAGCTCAGTTTAAATTACTGAATTCTGGCAGAATTCTGAATTCAGGGCAAATACGTCAATTAGAAAATTAAGTATTCCAGCTTTGTTGATGTTGCCCTTTTTTATCTTCTTCCCTAATCAAATTACATTCTTCAGAGAGCTTACTATTTCCTTGAGGAGTCACCAAATTATAACTGGGACTTGTCAGGGACTGTGTCTGGTGATTGCTGGTCCTCTCCCCAAGTTTGTATATCCATAGTTTTTGCCCAGGACAGGACAACTTAGTCACAGTCCTCTTCTGGTGTTCCACTCCCTTGTTAAAATAATGAAGATTATTATTACTTATTTCTCCTTGCAACTATCAGTTTATTTTGCAAAGGATCAAAAGCAATGGATAGAATAAAAAGTAATAATTGCACCTAAACAATTTCACTGAGGTGGTTCTCACACATACCCTGGGCAGGTCACACATGACCACAGCTCACATAGGGATAACAAATTCTACTTCACTGGTTCTTGAAACACTAACAAGGTAGAAACAAACTGCTGTCAAAATATTGGTGAAGACTGAAGACTCTTGTATGCCCCTCTGATGTTGCCGGGAGATTCTTAGACACATGCAAGTGTAATGAAAGCTGAGCCTCTCTAGGTAAAACATGATGTAAAAGTAATTTGGCATAAATGAAATTCAGGCTCAATACCTACAGATAAATGTAAGGTATTTTCACACTGTGTTGTTTCCCCAAAAACACTTAGTGTACTTGGGCAATGAGTAAAACAACTAGTTCTCACCTTCTCTGCAAGTCTGTCAGGAAAAAAAAAGGCAATTTATGTATTTCATTTATGAAAGAAGGGGAAAAAAAGCCCAAATGTCATACCAGCAGTTGAATCATAAAAATCCTGCAGTCTGCCAGGTGTGTTTTCCAACTCTTCATACTCAAATGCTTGTAGTATCATCTCACACTGATCCAACTGTTTTACAAACTTGGCTTCTGGAGTACACTGGTTTTCATATTCCTGAAAAGATTTGCAGTTATAATAAAACATTATATAATATAT